CCCTCCCCCCCTGCCGCCGCGGGGGAGCGGGGGCTTGCGACCTTCGGCTGCGCCGACTCAGCGCTTCAGGATCTTTTTTATCCTTCTTAATGCCTTCTAGCGAGACAGGGCTCCGGGCGGCGGTGGTGGATTCTGAAGTACATCTGCTTTTAAATTAAAAAAATATTGGTTTGTCTCCCCATCTCTCGTTCCCGTGTGCCCGTGCAATATCTAAGAACATAACTCGGAAATTGCCAGAGGTTCGTTGTGCCCGGCCGTGCCAGGAGAGCTGGCCGCTCTTGGCAGCGGGTGCCGGCAGCGGGTGCAGTCAGAACCGCGCAGTTTGAGGGTGAGCGTTGGGGAGGACGAGCTGCATTAGCACAGTCATGGTTTCTGAGGTGGCCTGGCGAACGGTTTATCCCGGACTGTTTTCATGGAAACCCATTTCAGGAAAGGTCCTGCTGCAGCCATTGACAGCAGTTTGAACTCCGTCGCACTCAGTGGTGATGAGTCCGATGACATCAGGTAAAAAGAACATACCCGCCATAAGATTTCTGTAGTACATATCTGCGTCTCAGAGAGGGTAAATGAAACGTACAAGCGGTTAATTCTGACGGGTTTTTATTTTTAAGTCCTATCATTTGCAGGTAACAAAGACACTAATTTTGTCTTAGCCTGTAAAGTAGGAGCAGACTTTTCAGTATCGCTTATACGCAGGACTATCGTAAGTCTGTAGCAGACTTTTTGTGATGGTTGGGCATTCCTTCCAGTGGCAGCTTCCTGCGAAGTTGTCATAAAACCGGCATATTTGCGCTAGGTGGGGATGGGGAGTCTGTATGCCGCTCTCCAAAAGAATGCCGCCTGCTTCAGTGTCGTATTATCCTCTGCTTTTAGGCAGTATGGTCTTTTGGGTGGCCATTGTAGTACAACTTCGACATTCTCAAGTACAAAAATAAACGAAAAATAAATAGAATATGAAGCTGGTGATTAACTTTTAAATGGGTGTTGATCGTGGACTTAAGACTTAAAGAAACAGTTCTCTGCACCGGTTGAGGTGGCGGAGCTGAGATATAAAATGAAATAAAATGCATGGTGAAGGAAGATCAGCAAGAATTTGCAAAGAAGACACCGTGGAGCCTATGTACCAATAATAATTTTTTTCACTGCTTGTCTTGAGAAGCAGTTTTGGAAGACTGTGGTGAAAGACAAATCAAAGACATGAAATTGAAATGAGCCATTGATCCAATACACTTCAAAACGCTTGCATGCTTTTTAGGTTGTTGGTCATCATGTTTTAGATGACCGTATGCTATATCTGAAATTAAGGTTCAGGAGGGTTGCTCTAGGTGGAAAGAGGTCATATTCTTGGAAAAACTGCTCTTCTACTGTAACAGCAAGATGAGTTTACAGGAAATGTGCAATCTTTTACTGTGAAAAAGACTGCTTAATTAAAAGATATTGTAAATTATTCTGTGGAGAAGTACGTCTTCACTGAATTTCATCTTTAAGCATTGCGTTCTGTTCATCTCTGAAAAATGTACTGGGGAAGCAGGAGTTAAGCGTGTGTGAGGAGTAAGAGCACCAGACATAACTACATTAGCAACAAAACTTGTAGTCATTAGAGTTGTGGGTTTTTTTAAACTCAAAATTATTCAGGTTCAAATCCCATGAAGGAACGCATTAGCTATGTGTGAAAGTAGGTTACGTGCATTAATATATAAATATGATTAAGTTGGTGTTTTGTTTTTTGGTTTTGTTTTGGGTTTTGGGGTTTTTTTTTAAGCTTACTCATCTTTTCTCCTCAGGCTTGCAAGACGTAAAGAACGAAAAATACATGTACCTAGTTCTTGTATGGCACATTAAGAAACACATTTCTATTGCCTACACTTGCAGAGCCTAATTTTTACCTGCTGCCTATCTCTCTTCTTTTTGTCACTCCAGGATCTATCTCTTAGTCCAGCTGGTCTTCACGTTGGGTAGAATTGGTCAGGTAGGTTGCCAATGTTGGAGCATTAAGTTTCCAGCCAAAAGTAATGTTTCAGTGGCTCTTTTTGGAGATAAATTTTATCTCCAGCCTATACCTAGTCTGTGCAAGTCCTGTTTATTTTGAGTGTTGTTTTTTCAAATAAAATGATTGGTTTAGGTTTCTGTATAAAGGGTTATTGCAGGAGACTCAGGAATTTGATGTCCTTGTATTTTAAGGGTAGGTGATTCCAAAGCATGCTCTGGTACCAGAGGCTGTTACGCTCTCCAAATGCCGATTGATTTGGGTCGCTCTCATTTGAAAAACTCCAATATAAAGCTCTGAAAAATCCATTAACTAATTCCAGAAGTAAAACTTGGAAGAAAAAAATGAGTAGGTATGTGAAACTTACACTGGGCAGTGAAGAAGTGGAAGTATGAGTTGGCGTGGTGTTTTCTGTCTCTGGCTGTGTCGTTATGTATTGTGGCTGTGGGCCAGTTGGTGGGGGAGTTCAGAAGCTGTGTAGGGTTTGCATGAATGCTTAGTTTAGGGTGTGAGTAGGAAAATAAGTAGGCATGGACTTTCTGAGGGGGTGGTTGGGTGTGAGCAGAGTCTGTGTGTGCTGAAGGATTTGTGCAGCCACAGAGAGAGGAGCCTTACCTGCTTTTGAGTTTTGCATGGAAGCTGTTTGACTGACTGGTTATGAGTAGGACACTTCTAAATTATAGAGATGTGGCTTCCTTCTAATTATTTGGCAACTGGATTATCCATGCAGCTCAAAAATGGTGGCTTCAGTGGGGAGAGGTCGAAAGATGTGAAGGGGATGCAGAAACACATGGAAGTATTACTGGTGTCGCAGGCCCCATCTGCCTTTCTTGACCATCAGCTGGCTTCTGCAAGTACAGAAAAAAAATGTCTGTTTCATGAACAAATTTTCAGTCTGTGGGACCAATAAGACTTCTAATTTTTGTGGTAGTTTGATTCTTGAGGTCTTGCCTCAACGGCTTAATGCCAAGTTGCTTGTAGCTCTCTGAGGGCAGCGAGGTCTGGGGTGGTTGTGTGAATTCCTACAGAATTGCCTTACATGTACAGGTTTATCTAATCCCTCTGTGTGCCCCTGGAGCAAATCCTGTCGTTTACAAAACACAGAAGTCTTCCTGCATATCTCTGACATCTTGTGGTATGTTCCTGAGCCTGAGAAAAGGAGGATTCCTGAGGAAGAGACTGCCATAGGACAAAGCGTGGTTTGGCTCAAAGGGATGTTGCTGTACCTCCCAGAGAAGTTAAATTCAAGCCAGCTTAGCTCTTGATTTTCTTTTCTGTAACAAATCAGCCAGAAGCCTGCACTTTTTCTTAGCACTTTTTGTCCTGACAATTGCCCTAATGTAGAGACAATTCTATTGCTCTGGTTTAATTTATTTAGTTTGTGAGCCTAGTGTAAATTATGGTGGCACAAGAGTGCTTTTACCAGAATAAACCATGCTTGCACTAGTAAATTTGGCATAAGTTGTAGCATATATCCACAGACCTTTTATAGGATAGATTTGGTCCAGGTATTCCTGGTATCCTCAACAGTAGCAGCAGATGTTCTCATCCGAACAGATCTGTCACTGTCTGGCATGAGGCGTTCCTGGCCAGCTGAAACTTGCAACTCCTAATATTTTGCTAGCTTACTGTCTGCTTGCCTGTATCGCAGAGAGCACGTGGGAAGTACCTTAGCAAAGAGGATATTTAAGCTCAAATTCTTAGATGAACTTAATGTTGTTACGCAGGGATTGTGCTGCTGTATTAGAAATTGAATTAAGACATTTTTGTTATCTCAGCAAGTTTTGTCTTTGGTTTTCATGCATCCGTGTGAACAGATTACAGATCTGTGTGTGTATTCTATACTGTTCCCCAAGGCTTTTCTAACTTAGTAATGGACCAGTAACAATATTTTCATCTTTTTCCAGATGAGCATAATATAGCTCAACAAAACTAAAAATGTAAAATTAAGTTCGCATTGTTTTCCATTTACTTGTAAATAGCTGCGCGTCTTGTAAATTGGTTTTGGTCAGAAATAACCTGGCAGCATTTGCATCGTCTCGCTTGTGCCGTTCAACCTTCTGACATCCCTAAACGATTGCAGGCCTCGTAGGACCCTTGCACAGCCACAAAACCGTAACCTCTCCGCCAGTGCTGAAATCGACTTCTGTGGAGATGTGGTGGGACAGGTCTGCTGTCACAGAACTCCTGTCCTTTCCTCTGCGTGCTGGCACTTGGAGCGTCTTGAGTAGTCATGAAACAGTGAGAAGGCGGTCTGCTGAGACCTCTTGTGTAAGTGTGTCTGTGAGCATCCCTAGGTGCAGGCATGAAAAGTGGGACGGGACGTCTGTTCTGCAGCGCGCTGACAAGGTGCGGCTTGGCAGTTTTTGTTACGCTTGTCAGACAATAAGTATTGTAGAGCAAGGCGAGGTAGAAGGCAATGCGTGCCCGTAACTTCTGCTGCTTATTTCTTAGTGCCCATTTGGTTTTTATTGACATTTGTAGAGAGCTTTCATAGTGTGTTAAAAGTTTTTCTATTTGGGACTGGTACTGAAGTCAGGAATACAAACCGCTGCTGAAGCTGGGAGGTATTTGGTTGTCAAGACCCTGTGCGCTCAAGTTCTGGTTTAGCCGAATCGTGCTGTGCTCATGCCAGCTCTTGTTCCCTCTTCACAGGGCGTGCAGGGCAGCGTTGTGGTAACTGCGCTATCAAGGAGGGATCTAAAGCCATGTCATCTTCAAGTTTTCTTAGGAGAAGTTTGTTTCTGGCAGTCTCCTGGGAATTTTACAGGTTGCCTTGGCATTAGGAAGTCGGGAACAAATCAGGCCAGAATTTGCCTCCAGACTTTTAAAGGTGTTTTTTAAATCAGGCATAGTTTGTTTTGGGTTTTTTTTAAATGAAACTACAATATCACCTGTGATGTTTTAGAGATGACTGAGTTGTAAAGTCTGTGTAACTTTGAGAAGCAATAAATCAAAATAGTTGCCTTCTCCAGAAACTCTCTACCTGGCATAACTTGGGAGAAGCGCCTAAATGCGTGTTATGTTTGGGTAAGTAGTTGAGGGGCAACCGTGATAAAGGTATGTTAAAAGCTTATGGTTTAAAAAAGGATTTAAAAATCACTATACCAGGCTTGAATGGGGAGTTGTTGATTATATTCCTGCTCCAACAAGCCCCTAAAGATGGCCTGAAGGAAGGAGGCAATAAGACTCTTACCCAGCTCAAAATAGTAAGAGAATAGAGTTGGGCTGCTCCTACATGTCAGGCAAAGGGAGAACTGGAAATCAGACCATCTTGTTTACGCAGGAGAACTTGAGATGAGATTTCTTGGCCTTTCTTTGTATCTGAAGATGCGCAGTTCATCTGCGTGCCTGATGCAAGAGGCGAGTTGGGGTGGAAGGAGGTGTGGCAGGATGGAGCTGCTTGAGATGGCTGGGTAATTTATATGCTGTAGCTTGCCTTTACACCTGCATTAATTGCCTTGTTTGGCAAAACTTTTATTATTGAAAGAACCTTTTTTTATCAATAATTTTTCTTGCATGCTTTAAAATGTATTTTGGGGCTGGAGCAGGGCTGTTCTGAAGGTGCTCATGTCTGGAGAAAGATCTGGAGTTGATGAACCTAGACTTCTTGATTTGTGTTTGGGGTTTTGTTTCTTTTTGTTTGAGCGTGTTTTGTTTGCATTGGTCTCAGCTGCAGTTACAAAAGGAACTTCCTTCTCGTGTGGACTGACAAATATGAAAAGTAGCTAATGGTTTTAAAGAGCTTGTTTCTTCGTTCTCTGTTGAGACCTCTTTCATGTATTGTACAAAGCTTTCTCTCTGTCCTGGTACTGAGTACCAGTGTAGCATTGCCTATACATACGGGAGTCTCCAGTCTCCTATTTGCCTTGCATATTATATTTATGCAACTGCTTAATATTTCCAAGAAAACAAACAAAATCACTGTTATGGACAGCTTCAAAATTGCTTGTTGCCTATCAAGGAACTATGTTCTGAATACATGTAGTTAGTGGCTGGTTTATGTCCTCAGGCATGTTGGTTTACATCTCCTGAACAACTTCAAGCTACCTAGTACAGCTCTTGTTATTGTTTATGTACACGGTTAGTACTCTTAATTGCAGACTCTTGGCTCTTCCTTCGTGTCCTGGTGAGATCCACACTCCTCATTCCTTTTTCCTCTTGGCTGTGTTATCCCTTTCCGTGATAGTCTTGCAGATCTCTGTTTTCCAGCTCCCAGTATATCCAGAGCTCTGGTGCCTTCCTCCGTTGGATTCCCAAAGAAACACAGTGTTTGTCACATCTTCCAGCTATCCCACGATACTACTCATGCACTTGTCCATTCAACTTCAGACTTTGCCAGTGATTATCAAAGTCTTCTTCTGACTCTGATGCTTATTTCTCCCATGTGCGATAAGGATCAGTGAGGTGTAAAAACCTGATTAAACCAAGTTTTCTCAGCAGGTTCCTTGGTGTTTTCCAAATATGATTTTAGTAAGTCACAGGAATGTTTGGATTATTAGAGACACACTACACACCACTGCATTTCTTAAATATATTTAATGGTGAGTTTAACAGCAGGGGCATGGTGTTGTACTTGTTCCTTCTAAAAAAGCATTTTTAACAAGTTTAAAAGTAGAATTAATTTGAAAGAAGACATGTTTTCAAGTAAGATACAGTTAATTTCTTGGTTTAAAACTGTATTCCAGAAATGTTTTCCTTTGCTTTTCTGAGGAAGTCCTAGTTCCAACTTCCTATCTAATAGGTGTAACACTGCTGTTTAGTAGAAAGCTAAATTTTCAACTGATGTGGACTGGAAATCTCATGAATCATGTATTTAGTGAGTGAACTTGAGTGTCACGCATAGCACAAATATGGCATAAATACGATACAGATTTAGTTACTTAAGCAGATGCTTTGATGAGTGTTCCATGCGAGCTAGCCTGCTGCCCATTGAGGAGCAGGGATTAGATATTTTTTCCCCACCTTTTAAAAACAAAGAAAGAAAAAACCCCAAACGCACCTTTCTAAATCCAGTGGCAGGTATTTCTAATACAAGAAGGTACGTAATAGATCTGTGCTTCACGTGAGAAGAGCTGAACAGGTGACT